GCATTATGTTACTGACTTACACATCAGAATCTCATCTATGGGAGAAGTTGGGGGGCCTAGAGGGAAACATCCAGAGCTTGACATTACAAAATGTCTCAGTTGTAAATACCTGAAGAACTGTGACTCATGGATGTCAAATTTCTGTGTTAGCTGTTCAAATGATTCTGGATAACAGCAGACTGGCTGTTCGTAAAATCTACGACAGGTCTGGACCACACGTGAATTTTGTTCGTATCTGAAAAAATTCTTAGAATACGAAAACATTGGTGAATGCCACAAATTCTCCTAAATCACTCGTACGCACAATTTAAGAACAAATCTGTGCGTACGAACGGTCCTTGCATGAGGCCCAATGTTTTACAGTGTTTTCTATTCACACATTTACACAAATACACAAAACAGAGGGACAACCTGAAAGACAAAGCTCTCAGTTTCATAACKGATCAATGCTGCAGACGTTGTGAGTAAAGAACAAAAAGAAAGAGTGGGAGGTGGGAGACCTCGGTCCTGACCCAGGACTTACAGCTGGCTTCGGCAGCCTAGAGCGGTGATTATTTAAAGTTGGGGTCTGGACCGCACTGTGGGTCCTGAAACATCAAGGTGGGGTCTTAAAACTAATGAATTACATTTAAAAATGACTGCTAACAGCCATTTTTTGTCTTAGTCATTACACGAGTGAGGTTAGTGCGCTTAAAAATGGCTAAAATTAGCATAATGAATATTGTTGCTGAACCCTTGTTTATTTGTTTGTCACCCAAACATAGCCGTATACACATGTCTGTTACTGTTATCATGTGGGTCAAAAGCTAAAAAAACCTTGAAAATCATTGGGCCAGAGGAGGTGGCTGTGGAGAGGATGGTCTGGAGGTTTCAGCTTGAGGCCATGCTGTCTGATCAGAGAAAGATCTTGACCTCAGACAAGTGCATCACGCACACGTCTGCRTTTGTGTTCAGAAATTCAAAACCAACGGACTGATAGCACACGAGCGGGAGGTCAACCAGCTCCAGGTGGAAGGAGACCGTCTGATCGAAGCGGAACATCCCGGCAGCGCAACCATCGAGGTGACATGGCGAACATCAAGCACAGCTCTTTCTCCTCAGAACTCATCAGTTTATTTAGAATTTAGCCAAACTGAAGTCGTCGTTGTTGTTTTTCTTCAGATACACAGAGATACCGTACAGATGGAGTGGCAAGCCTTCCTGAACTTGTGTCTGGCACAGGAAGTCCACCTGAACAACGTCGACATTTACAAGAAGGTCAGGACCTGACAGATTGTGTAGAATAAATCCGCTGAAGAAAAAAAATTGAGATGCTCCTGTTTTGATTTTGTAGTTTCAGCTGGACGCAGAAACTTTGTCCGAGTCTTTGGAGAGACTCAGTTCCACTCTGGACCCAAAGTCCCTGAACAACAAGAGCAACCCAGAGGTTCTGATCGCACTGGAGGTACAACGCTGCAGATTGTTACGAGATGTTAACAAGACTGTTTGAAGGCTAAAGAAAAATAGTTTTTGTTTGTGTGAAACAAAAATAAAACCAGTCTGTTAGACATGACTGGATCCGGTGTGATGAGTTTATTAAGTGAAGCCTAGTTATCCAGGCACACTTGTTACTGTTTTATTCAGAATATCTGTCCTGGATCTCATCACACAGCTTTGGATATAAGAAACCTGGAAATTATACACCAAATTGTGTGTCTCCATCAGGAACAGTGTGACATCATAGGTATCAGTATGTACAACATGCACAATTTGCAAATAAGCCTGTCTGGTGACAGGGGCAGAGCCAGAGGGGTGGCACCCCAGACACCTGTTTGGCCACCCCCAAATAATAGACAAGTGGGTAGGAATCCTGGCTTTTTTATTTGCATGATTGTTCTCTGATACTAATGTACTGAAATAGATTTTCAGCTGTGCTTGTTTAAAAATGGCTGAATATAGCCCTTTGTAAAACCACATTAGCATTAGTGGTTTTAGGATTAGCATCAGCAATAAAGATGCGATCATACTTAGCCACAAAATATTTATTCTCAATAAGTCTGGGCTGAATGAACTGAACTTTTTAAAGTTAGCTTGATTTTTTTTTGATCAACATTTCGGATTTGGTAAAGATCATTTTCGGCTATTTCTACRCTAATCTTCAGCTTTGTTTGTCTTTGTATGTCAAGCATTCAGCATGAGTTCTGGATCACTCTTAGCTATGATCACAAAAAAATTCAGCTCAGTGTTTCTTAAAACAGCTGAATTAAAGCCATTTGGAATTACCTGTAGCACCCATCATGAGTTTTCAGATCCAAAGTGATTTTTATGTGTATGTGCCGCCCTAAAAAACTGTGAGGATGTGTGTTTTGTTGTTCTGTGTTTTCCCTGTGTAACCACCTTTCAGTTCTCCTCAGCTTGTTTCTAGGTCATTCTCAGTAAACCATCCTCACCTGTCTGCARTCCCCAMTCAGTTCTCCCTCCAGRTGTTTGTAATTTTCCCTCTCCCTCTGTCTGKTTGAATACTGGTCTTGTCCKCCACACACTCACTGGTTCATTGTTTGGTTTCCCCAYCAACTGTTGTGGTTTTCCTCGTTGTCTCCTWGTCRTTCTTTAAGTTTTGTTTATTTGGCTTCCCTGACAGCTTTGTGTTTTATTTTTGTTAAAATAAATATTTTTCTTAAAACTCTTACCTCCATTCGGATTTGGGTTCATTCCTTWGTTAAAACATAACAGAATGAACCAGTCAATTTCAGGACCCACCGGGACAAAGAGTTTTCTCAAGTTTATGGAGGAAAACAGCTTTTTGGCTCCATTCAGTGAATGGGGGAGGAGACCGACTGGGAGCGTGACCAGGACTCAGCAGGTCCAACAGCCAATGATCATCYGAGTAGGTGGTTTTAGAATGTCACCTGTTCAGCCCACTCAGAGACGTGAGCGCCGGGGTCTGAGATCGAGGTCTTCCCATCGCTTCTTTTAGTGGAGGAGGAGGAGCAGAAGCGGACGCAGTTCCATGGGACTSGACTGGCCTTCAGGTCTGCACCTCCATCTCRCTCTCCCACATCTGGCTCCTCTCAGCACAACCRTCGCCAATGGAGAAAGGTCTCTCCTGAGCCTGATTACAATCCGGACTACGATCCAGAGTGTGATCCCAACTTCCCTGAGTACCTCGGTTACTGCTCTTSCGGGCCGATGATTTTCCCCTCTTCAGTGCCGTCTCCGTTTCTCCYGCCAGCATCTCCTCCGAGACGGTCCCAAATGCCTCCTCCAGTGCCTCCCCCGAGGAAGTCCCGGAYGCCTCGCCCTCCTGTRCCACCTCCAAGAGGGTTACTGAGACCTCCAGCCTCCAACGCTTCTGAGAAAATCTATGCCTCAACCTCCTGCRCTCTTCTTGCCTCTGAGAGGATCGATGCTTATACCTCCATCTGCGCTCCTCCAGACGGTCAACGCCTCCACAGCTTCCTGCGCTCTCCAGAGGGTCGATGCGTCCACCTCCTGTGAGGAGGGTCTCGAGGGGAGGGAGGTGGTGGTCACCACCATGGCTGCTGTGAYAGTTTTCGTCATGGCAGCTCTTGTGGAGATGCTGTCCWTGCCTGCTGCAGCACCTGAGTCCTCAGAGTTGGAGCCAACACCAGAACTCACRGAGCCAGAGTCTGCACCAAGGTACTCAGAGCTTGAAMCAGCACCTGAGCCTACCAAGCCCCCGGGTCAGATTGTGAAGTCCCCAGGTCTGCCAGAGGCTCTCATGGTCTCCATGCCGGTCTCTGCTTCCGAGTCCACTCTGGTCCCTGCTACAGCTGAGATCTCGTTGCCTGCAGCTGAGACGCCACCACCTGCGGTTAAGTTCTCCTCACCGTCTGCAGCTGAGATCTCCTCGTCGTCTTTAACAGAGTTCTCCATCCATCCTGAGCCGGCCCCTGCAGAGTCTTCAGAGCTCAATCTTCATCAAGGCCAAGCTCCAGGTTGCCCACCAGAGCTTCATCCTCGCCATGGCCAAGCTCAAAGTCGCCCACCTGAGCTCCGCCTCCACTGCGGCTGTGCCCACGTTGCTCACCAGAACCCCTTGCTTGTCTGTGCTGGGTTCCTGGGCACCCACCTGAACTTTCTGCCCTCTTTATGTCTGCCTAGGGCCATCTCAGTGACTAAGTATTTTTGTTGTTTTTTCCCAGGACTTACCTGTCGGTTTTTGGTTTCATTTTCTGTTTTTGTGTTCCCTTTGTTGTCTTTTGTCTCGTGCCCTCTGTCCCATCTTTGTGTTTTCGTACCCCTCACCTCCCACCCGTGCTTGTCCGTTAATCGTCAGGTGACRATTCATTGGGGCAGGGGTACTGTGAGGATGTGTGTTTTGTTGTTCTGTGTTTTCCCTGTGTAAGCACCTTTCAGTTCTCCTCAGCTTGTTTCCAGGTCATTCTCAGTAAACCATCCTCATCTGTCTGCAATCCCCCATCAGTTCTCCCTCCAGGTGTTTGTAATTTTCCCTCTCCCTCTGTCTGTTTAAATACTGGTCTTGTCCTCCACACACTCACTGGTTCATTGTTTGGTTTCCCCATCAACTGTTGTGGTTTTCCTCGTTGTCTCCTTGTCGTTCTTCAAGTTTTGTTTATTTAGCTGCCCTGACAGCTTTTTGTTTTTAATTTTGCTAAAATATTTTTCTTAAAACTCTTACCTCAGTCCGGATTTGGGTTCATTCCTTAGTTAAAACGTAACAAAAACACACTGCAAAAAAAGCCTAGCTCTGCTCCTGTTTGGTGAAACTTGATTAAAATAAAACTCTTTGACTCACAGAACATTATTTAAAATTTAAACTGTCACAGAAAGTTGAATTTTTACAYGATGACAGTTAAGTTTGATTTTTGAGAAGTTTCTACAAAAAATGTCCCACTGACAATTTTCTAGTGATTTTTGTCTTTTTTTTTCCCAGTGTGTCTGTCTCTTCTATAGGACTTAGTTTTCTCTCAACGCTGATGGARGTGCAGCAAGTGTCCAGCCAGGTTTCCACTGATTCAGTTGTATTTTAGCTAAAAAATAATATCTCTTCAAATCTGGACATGAGCAATTTTTTAACTTGTCATTCCTCCGATACATATAAATTTACATGTGTAACCAAAAGAGTCACTCAGGGTTCAAGAATTTTTAAAATCGAATTATAGTTTTTACACATTGTTTGTTTGAGKCTTACTTTTTAGTTTGTTCTTACCTCTGTCAGCCAGGGAGTGAGAGACAAAGGTGTGTGGTTATTGTGGTGACCAATGAGCCGCTGACTTCAGCTTTAACATTTATTTTTTTTCTTGCTTTTTAAACAGCAAAATGTGGGCATTTTAAAGCATAGATTATTAAAAAGCTATGTAGAAAATCTGAGCAGTAGCCTTGTTGTCACACTTCAAAATTTATTCATATTTTTAGAGTTAATGGCAGTAAAAAATGTTGACTTTTTCAAGTTTGCAAAGCTATTGTAAATCTATTGCCTTTGTTTTAGATTTCAAAAGTTCTCAGGTTTTACTTTCTAAATAAAAAAAGATTTAAAGACRTCAGGAAGGAAACAATGCTTAAAAYTGTTCTTTTAATTTTTCCTAAAAAGGGAGATGAACCGGCTGTAAAAAGGAACGAGCAGCGCCTGGAYGCCCTCAGGGGGCTCAGCACAAGCATCGCTCCTCTGAAGCTGCGCAGAACCCAGCCCACCAAACCCATCAAGGTGGTGTCCCTGTGCGACTGGGTGGAGGGAGAGGTAAGCTGCCGTCTCACAAACACGACAGGTAACCCCTGAGACTGTTTAAACGCTTGACGCATCGCCTTCCCACCTTTGTAGGAAGCAGTGGAGCGAGACGAGACGCTACGACTGAAGTCCTTCTCTAACGATCAGAAGTGGACACTTGAGGACAAAAATGGACAGATCAGGACCCTTCCTGGGGCTTGTTTTGAGATCCCACCACCTGATGCTGAGGTGCTRCAGACAGTTAACAGGTACACAAAACAAACACACACCCTATTTTCTTTTTTTTTACTATAAGACTAAACTTAAACCTCAATTTTTAAATCAAATGTGTGTTTTGGTTCAGCCTGGACAAGAAGCTGGCAGACCTGAAGAAGCGTAGATCAGGACTGATGGACTCCCTGAAGAGCCCTGCCGTGGAGGTAGTTAAGCCTCAGAAGGCAGGTGAGAAGAAATCGCCTCACGTTTTCAGATTTTCTCTCCTCGTCAGAGCCTCACTGCTGCATTTGTCTGACCTGTTTAAGTTCTCAGAGTGGACATTTTTCTTTTTTTTTCCTGATCAGCGGTTATTCAAAGCTCCCCAGAAGACCCCAAAGCTGCAGGTTTCCTTGGTGACATAGATCAGATTAACAAAGCCCTGGACAAGACTGAAAAAGACATTCTGAACAGAATCAGGACACCGCTGAATAACCGCAGCCCCATGCAAGACCTGGAGACCAGACAGCAGGACCATGAGGTGAACATTTATACTAGTAGCTCACAGCAAAAGAAAATAAASATTAAAGCTGTTTTTCTTTTATTTGGCAAGGTTATTTCCAGTTATGTCACTTTGTTTGATTTTCTACTATGCAAGTGTTGGGGTAAAAAAAACAACAAATAAAAACATTAAAGGGGCAATATCATGTAAAATCTTTTTTTTTAGTTTTATATGATGTTATAATGTCACACTCTCATAAAAAACATGCCCAAAGTCTTGCTTTGACTAATTCATGCATGTTTGAGAAATCCTGCAGCGTTTTTAGGCAGACATGCTGAGGAGCAAAACGACAAGTGGGGACCAGAAATGCCTCTGGGGTGTGTCTTTAAGCCAAACTTCCTCATGGCAGATTCCCCAACCCCCCCCTGACTTGGGCAGGCTACTGCTGAAATGGGCGTGACCGAAGTGGTTGGATTTTCTTAAAGAGACAGAGACCTATTTAAAGGCGTTTAGAAACTGTCAAGATGAGAAGTAAATTGTATACAGCTCTTTCATAAGCTGAAAATGTGACATAGTTACTTTATTTTAGTATAAGATTGAAATATAGGCTTGGAAAGYRCATAATATCGCCCCTTTAAAACATGAAGCTAAAAGGAGAATGATGTGAAAAGATRTTTGGCAGGAGTTCACGATTCAACAGGCAAAATTTGCTGAATAACTGCAAAAAGTTCTCACATRGTCAATAATGGGATTTTGGTGAAACAAGCGCAAGGCTGTGGGAAGAAGGGGTGCGGAGGGCACTGCAGCACCTCGTGATGGATGACACGGGGACAAGCACATCCAAATAAAGTCATTTAATTAGAGCTGCAGATGTTTTTATCTGTGTTCAATATTTTTACAACTGCTTTATTTTTGATTTACAAATGCTCTTGAATCATGCCATCATGGCCGCCCCTATAAACCCTATGTAACTTGTGTTTTTACAAGAACTTTTAGGTTTCGATGTATTAAGTGCTTGAACAGAATTTAACAGTTAGAGTTCAGAATAACCCACAGGGTAAACAGGATAAGGTTTTAACCTAAAGTTTCAAAACAAAGCTTCATAAATCGAACCTTTCAGGATTTCTTTAAATCTGTTTTTTTTTCTTTCTCAAACACACTGTTTCTGTCCCATAGAAATCTGCTCTGACAGTCAGAAAGCTGGARTCAGAGAAGTCTGCCATCCAAAGAGAGATGGATCCCATGCTGGCCAAGAAACCTCTGGGTCCCACAGCCTCCACCGTGGCGCTCAAACTCAGCRCTGCTGACAACAAGATCCACAACATCACCACTCTGATTGATCTTTATAATAAAAAGTACACATTTTCTTTATTAAATTAAGAAAAATAACATCTGTGGTAAATGCACAGTTTTTGGAGTCTGTTTGTTTATTTATTTGTTTTTGTCTCCTTTCAGAGCTTTAGCCTCCATGTTCCTGGAGAAGCAGATAAAAAAAGTTGATGGTTTTGTTTCGGGGTTTGAGGACAAACTTTCCAAAGATGGAGTCATCCCTAACGAAGAAAACGCTCTTCAGACTCGCATCCAGAACTTACAGGTGTTCAAACATATAAAACAGAAAAAAAAATTAAAAAGCATGGGAGTGGAGATTATCAGATGACTTAAACGGTACAAAATGTTCCTTTGTTTTTTTTTTAATCCATCTGGTTATTGTTGTCAAACAGGCGATGCAAAAGGAGTCGYTGTCAAAGAAAGACGAGCTGAATAAATTAGGTAAAGAACTGGATCTGGCACAACAAGCCTGCAGCTCTCTGCAGCAGAGCGCCAACGAGTTCTGCCCGGACATCCGCCGGCAGGAGAGCAAGGTGAAACAACTGAAGAACCGGGACACAAATGTTAATAATCAGATCCAAGAGAGGTGAGGGGGGAACTAAAMCCATCAGCCATTAGTGCAGAGGTTCTCAAACTCTCGCAGACTCCCAGGGGTCCATGAGAGGTATCTCGGGAGAGCTCAAAAAAGGTCACTAAATTGTTAATTTGGCTTTTATTTTTAAAAATGCATGAAGAACAATAAACTAATAAAACAAACATGATAAACTAAATACAAAAATCTATATTCCTATGGCATTTAGGGTTTAAAATGACAATAAACAGCATGGGTTTTATGAGGTGGCCCCTGGAATTTTTATCACTGTTGTAAGTGGTCCCCAGACCCAAAAGTTTTGAGAACCCCTGCATTAGTGCTATAAAGCTACCTGTTTCATTATTATTATTGTTATTATTTAACTTATGTGTTTTCTTTAGGTTGGCTCTTCTAAAGAAAGGAAACAATAAAGTTCAAGAATTTGAAAGTACTGTACAGTCACTGGACTTTTTCTTGGTCAATTTGCCGAATAACTCGGTCAAACCCACCGATGGTCTGGCAGAAATATCAGCCAAGGAGAAATCTCAGAGGGTAAATGTATTTTCTTTTCAGTTTGCAACTTTTCTACAAAAACCTTTTAAAATCTAAATGAAAACATGTGAATGTGATTCAATCTCCTTTTTTATTTTCTATTTTGTTGTCCTATAACCTGGAATTTAAACATAATGTTTTTGAGAGTAGTAATTTCTAATTTATTCAACATACTGTAACTACCTCTTTGTAGATGCAAAATAGTATTTTATTGTGAAACAAAACATGAAATGAGACTTTGAGAATTTGTCTTTCCTTCAACCGGTTTTCCAGTCCCTACTGATGAAAACATCCCCACAGCCTGATGCTGCCACCACCGTGTTTCACTGTGAGAATACTGTTGTCCAAAAAGTTCAGTTTTAATCTCACATGATTCAAAAACTTTCTTTGAGAAATATCCAATATGTCATTTATCAAATTCTAATCATTCTGGCTACTCTTCCATGGAGTCCAGCTCTGTGCAGGAACAGTGGTCCACCACACAGATCCTCCCAACTCTGCAGAGGAGCTGCTCACCCCCTGCACACCATCTTTGTCCCCTGGTTGTTTATCTAATTAATGCCTCCTGGTCCAAAAGTTTAGGCAGCTTTGCCATTGTGGCATCATCTATTTTAAAGAATGTTTTTAATGGAAATCTGTTTGCAATGCTCAATTTGCAGTATTTTATGTAGGTTCTTTACTTAAAGTCAATCAGTAAATCTATTTTAAATTTACAGAAATTTTAGGTTGTGAGGCAACAAAGTAGAAATGATTCCAAAGGAGCTGAATTTTCTCGCATCTTGCTGTAACACTTGTAAGTTCTGTTTCTTAAAAGTTGTTCTCTTTCAGAGAGTGGTGGAAGACATTGAGAAGAGATCTGCTAGTTTAAACCAAGTTCAGAACCTGTCCAAAGATCTGCAAAGCACTTTAAATGTGAGTTCAGACAACACAAGCTAACATTCATATTTACGATAGATCGAGTCTCCCCTTTTAGCTACTGCATCTATTTTCATTCAGGAGTATGAGACCAAGTCCAACATTTATCGCGAGGCTCTGAATTATGAGGATGAAGAAGATGATGACAACAAGACACCAGTTAAAACTCCACCTCTGGTTAAGGAAGTACAGAAAATGGTGGGTTTTCAGGCAGAAGTGATTTAAGTTTATTTTGTTTTCCTTGTGTTTAAAACTAATTTTGCAATTTTTTTCTGCTACAGGAGAAAGCTGTACTGAACCATTTCTCTGAGGTTTCTGCTGAAAACAACCAGCGGCTCCGTCAGCTGGAGACAGCAAAGAACATTAAGGCCAGGGTAGGGGAGCCTCACTAAAAACACTACCAATTGATTCAATGTCTGCATTTTATTACACAGACTCATACGCTGCGTCTTCTTTTATTGTGTGCAGAATGACGAGAAAGTCAGTCAGGTTGTTGTCAGTCAGCAGCTTCAGCTTCAAAGCCAACAGAAGGACATGGAGGTAGTTGATAGTCTGAAAAAGGAACTAAGCGAAGAGGCTAACAGGCGCATGCTTGCTGAGAAAAACCTGGAAAACTTCAGCAAGAGGTTTTTGTCTCTGAAGAGTAGAAGAGGAGTGGAGAGGTTGGAGGAGAAGGAGGTGGTGCAGTACTACCGTGACCCCAAACTGGAAGCGGAGCTCCAGTTGCTGAAATCTCGCATCCACGAAGAAGAGCTGAAGAGATCAAGAATGCAGTCTGAGATTGAAATGCTAAGCGAGAGGATCATATCAATAGAGTTACAGTTGACCAGAGTCGAACCTAAACTGATCACCAAAGTGCTCACTGAATACGAGAGGGACCCCCAGCTGGATAAAGAAGCAACCAAGATTATAGATGAGTTGGAGAGGATTCGGCTCGAGCTCCAAACCAGAGACTCGGAAACGGTTCAAGTGAAAACCGAGCTCACGGTTCTGTCACAGCAGAAACAAAAGATTAGGGAGAAGGTCGTCAAGAAGGAAGTGGTGAGACTCGAAAAAGACCCGGAGATGCTGAAAGCCGTTCTTACATTCCAGGGAGACATCTCAGAGGAGGAGTTAAGGTGTAAGTCCCTGAACGAGATTATTTTTAGCACAAGGAGCCACATAAACAATCTGGAGAGGGTCATTCCCACCATCGAACCCAAGATTGTCACCAAGGTTTTGAAGCAAGTGCAGCAAGATCCAGAACTGCTCGAGGAATCAAAGAGGCTAAAAATAGCCTTGGAAGAGGAGAGAGATGAGAATGTTATCCTATTAAAGGACCTGACCACACTTCAGTTACGTTACAGTGAACTGGAGCAGCTCAAACCGAAAGTGGAGGTCAAGGAGATTGTCAACGAGATCTACAGAATTGATCCAGACACTGAAGTTGAGCTGGTCCGTTTGAAGAAAGAGCTGCAGGATTCAGGCCGGAATCGCCTCACCCTGGAGAAAGAGATAAGCACCGTGATGACAACGCTGACCACTCTGCGCACCCAGAAGCCCAAAGTGGAGTACAAGGAGGTGACCCAGGAGGTGATCAAAGAAGAGAAAAGCCCAGAGGTCACGAGGGAGCTACAAAGGCTGACCAACCAAGTCTCCCGTCTGCAAGTCAACTATGACACCACCCTAGAGCTGCTGATACGTTTACGTAAGGAAAGAGACGAGCTGAAAGCTGAAAAATCCAAAGTGGAGACACAGCTTGTGACAAAAGAGGTTGTCAAGTATGAGAACGATCCTCTTCTGGAGAAAGAAGCTGACAGGCTTCGAAGGAACGTTAGGGAGGAGATCCACCAACGTCGCACCGTGGAGGAATGTCTCTTTGAGCTGCAGAACCAGTATATTACCCTCGAGAGGCAGAGGCCAGAGGAAAAGATTGTGATGCAGGAAGTGGTTCGTCTCCAGAAGGACCCCAAGCAGATCCAGGAGCATGAAAAGTTAAACAAGAACCTGGATGATGAAATGAAGATGCGCAGAAAGTTGGAGTTAGAGGTCAGGCAGCTGAGGGCAAGGATCGAGGAAAAAGAGAGAAGCCTGGCGGAGATGGACGAACGCCAGAGGAAGATCCAAGTGGAATCTGAGCTTAGGCAGATCAAAAATCGCATCCTCGAGCTGGAGAGCACTCCGCCGCCYGTTGAGGAAAAGATAATCATCGAAGAGGTCCTGAAAGTGGAGCGGGACCCTAAGCTGGAGAAACTCACTGACAGCATACGTGCCGAATTAGAGACAGAGAGCACAAACTTCAGCCACATAGAAAGAGAAATTCGAAACCTTAAGATCAAACTGGAAATCCTTCAAAAGGAGAAGTCGATTGAGAAGGTTGTTTACAGAGAAGTTGTTCGTGTTGAGAAAGACCCAGCAGTGGAAGCTGAGAGGGACCGTCTCAGAGAGTTGTTAGCTCAGGAGAGAAATCTCCGGCAAATGCAGGAAAACAGCAATCAGAAAATAAGCATCCAAATCAAGCACCTGGAGACCTCAAAGTCTGCAACCTCTCAAGAAGAGACAACGCTGATCTCCCAAAGAGATGCCCTACAAAGAGAGAAGGATGACCTCTACAAACAGCTCAGATCGCTAGAGTCAGAAAGACAAAGCATTAGTATAACCTTCCAGCAGCAGTCCAAGCTAATGAGTGAGAGGAACCAGCTGGCACGGCAAAGAAGTCTCAAAACAACCACTGAGATACAGCGGCTGGAGAAGGAGATCCTTAACGAGAAGGACAGAATACACCAGAGGGACACGCTCATTGCAGAGCTGCAGAATGGCATCAAGAAAGAGGATCACTCTGAAACTCACACCAGAGAAACTAATCTCTCCACGAGAATAACCATCCTGGATCCAGAGACCGGTAAAGACTTGTCTCCCTACGATGCTTACGTACAAGGAGTGATAGATCGAAACAACTACCTCCAGCTGTCGCGGCTGGAGTGCGACTGGGAGGAAATCACCTCAACCGGTCCAGAGGGGGACTCCACAATTCTGCAAGATCGAAAAAGTGGGAAGCAGTACTCCGTCAAGGATGCGCTAAAGGAAGGACGCTTGACTGAGAGCGACGTGAGCCGCTACAGGCAAGGGAAAATGCCAATTTCTGAGTTTGCCCTCCTTGTCGCGGGGGAAAGAAGGGAGTCGTACATTCCCTCAGTAACTCCAAAATCTCCTGTCAAAGCCGTTCCGAGCTCCCCTATGAACTCAATGCCTTCACCTCTGAGGTCCTCCTACAGCGGCCTGAACAGCAACCTGAGCTCTAGCCTCAGCGGCAGTTCAAACAGCCTTCTTGCCTCATCGGGCGATGAACTTTTCCCAATCTCTGGCGTATTTGACACCACTACCGAAAGCCGCATGTCTGTGAGGAGCGCTCTCACCCGCAAGCTCATTGATGCAGACACAGCACTGAAACTGCTGGAGGCCCAAGCAGCCTCTGGTGGGATTGTGGATATTGGTAAAAAGGACAAGCTATCTGTCCACAAAGCATCCGAGAGCGGCCTCATCGACTCAGGCCACATGTATAAATTGCTGAATGCACAGAAAGCCTTCACCGGAGTCGAGGACCCAGTGACAAAAGAGCGTCTTGCTGTGGGACAGGCAGCACAGAAAGGGTACATTACCCAAGAAAATGCCAAGAGGTTCATGGAGGCGCAGTACCTGACCGGTGGTTTGGTGGATCCCAACAAAGCAGGCCGCCTAACTGTTGAAGAGGCCCTCGCTGCTAAAATGATCGACAGCACCACCGCAACTGAGCTGAAAAATGAGGCTTCTCAYACAAAAGGGTTGGTTGACCCGATCACTAAAGAGAAGATAACCTACAAGCAGGCCATGGATCGGTGCCGGAGAGACGCCACCACAGGGCTCCTTCTGCTTCCTGTAGCCTCCACCAATGTTTCCAATGCCCCGTCATACTCAAACTATCGCTTCTAAGAACTCTTTGCCTTTGTTTGCTACAGCCAGAGGTGCTACACTATAAAAAATATGTTCAAAAACATTTAATGGTAAAAATTATGTGAATCTACATTTTCTCTCAAATGCTTTTGGTTTGCTTAAAAAAACAGGGAGGGGGGACGGTGTAATTTTTGTTTTACATGATAATTTTTTTTTGTTTTGTCAAGTTGAGTTGTTCAAGTGTCAAATAAACTCCACAAGTTTTACATGAATTTCTCTGACCCTTTATTATTATTATTATTATTATTATTATTATTATTATTATTATTATTATTATTATTATTATTATTATTATTATTAATACTACAATTTTTTATACATTTAAAAGAAACAAGTTCAATCAGTTATGAACCACTCAGAACAACACTTTTAAAGGGCCAATATTTTGTGTTTCTCAGGCATATAGTTCAACTCTATAACATAATAAAACAATTCTGTCACCTTCAGTTGTTAAGAAAATGCTGTTTATATGTATAAATCAAAAATAAACTTGACTTCACATCGCAGCCATTTCTACACACCTTGAAAATGGCCTATATCTCTGTAAGAATCTCCTTTTTACAACCTGTAACATTGTAGTCTATTTTGTTGTACTAATAATTGGAAAAAAAAAAAAGCAGCAACATCATACAATATTGGTTTTAGAAAATGGCAACTCAGGATAAAAATGGACCTCATGGTCGGATCAGAAAGTACATTTTCTGAAGAACTGGAGCGATTACAGAGACAGTTTCAGTCATCCTCACAGACACACTTCAGTGTTAAGCTAGTTTATTTATTAATAAAATCTGGTGTAAGCCAACTAAAGAACACAAATCATATCATAAGTTATGAATGCTAAATGTAGATCACAGATAAAACAAACAACTGAACAAAACAATGTGAGATGTTTTCAGCTTACCTGGGCAGATGTCTATGGGGTGCCCCATAGACGACAATGGTGTTTGTGTCCTTCTGAGTGTTGGATTTGTATCGATTTTTTAGTGATAATCTTGTCATTAGTCCACTGTTAAATCCTAGTTTGTTCAGAAAGCTATCATAAAGTGACTTGCAC